GGACGACCCCTACCTCCAGTTCTGAAGACATCTTCAGCCACTATACCATCGATGTCATATCTTCCATCCATATCCGGTGGGATCATCGATCTACGGGATGGAAATTGATCACTTGTTTGACAAGGTAACAACTTCGATGCATGGAAAACTGGGTAAGTGTAGAGGTGTGCTGGGAGTTCTATGGTATAGGACGGTCCATCTTCGCCGCCCTTGACTTCTAGAACGGGCCACGTTCCTCTATATGTGGGCAGTAACTTCTGCGAGATGTTCTCCTCAGGTGCAAACTCCTTAGAACTGACCCAGACTAAGTCGCCTACTTGAAACTGTGAAGGGCGACGATGTTTGTTCGCTTGCTCTATCATCATATGCTGGGCCTTCTTGAGGTTCTCTACAACAGTAGCTAGTTCTTTCTCGTGCTGTATAGCAAACTCCCTGGTCCCGGGCGGTAATCTGTGAATCTGATCCCGGTTGAGTTCCTCAAACGGTCTGCGTGGTCTAAAGGACTTGTGCAGTTCGTTGGGAGTGCGGCAGGTGGATAAATGCACGCTGTTATTATACACACTAGCTACTTTAGGCAACATCTCGTCCCAGTTAATCTGATCTGGCCTAATGTACATGCGCAAAACTTGCTGTAGGATCTTGTTCATTTGCTCTGTCTGACCGTTAGTCTCTGGATGACGGTCGGACGACATCAACAACTTAGATCCATATACTCCCATGAGTTCTTGCCAGTTTTGGCTAGTAAAGCGACTATCTCTATCGCTAACTATTGACAGTGGGATCCCATTCTCACTTACCCAACAGTCAGAAAATCTTTGTATGACTAAATCAGTACGTGCCTCTGAAGGCAAAGGAACAAAAATTGTGTACTTACTAAAACGGTCAACTATGACCATGACTTGGCTCTTGCCATGCCTGCTCTTGACTTGAGTGTCCATGAAGTCTATGGACACCGAGTCTCGCGGCTGATCCGGAATGGGCAAGGGTCTGAGAAGACCTAACGGGCACGCGTAGAAGTCTTGTTACGCTGGCAGACTTTACAACTGCGAACATATTCTACGCAGTCATTCTTCATCCCTGGCCAGGTATACGCGCGCATCAGATTGGCTAAAGTCTTCTGCCAACCAAAATGGCCCTCTGTGTCGTGGCATTCTCCCAGAATCAGACTACGGATCTCTTCACTATTGGGAATGCACAGGCGGTCAAATACATTAGTCTTCTAAAAAAGCAACCCTTCAGTAGTGCGGTAGTTCGACTCAGTTTCTGGGGCCTCCTTGACCTTCTTGAGGAGGTCACTGTAGATAGGGTCCTGGGCATAGGCTTCTCTAATCTTCTGCTGCAGGTCCTTCCCTATGTCTAAGTAATGCACTATTGCCCCAAAGTAATCAGCTCTCCTACTCAGAGCATCCGCAACTACGTTATACTTCCCCTTGACTGGTTTGAGCTCAAAGTCGTACTGATCTATCTCTGCAGCCCACCTAGTAAGCTTAGGTGTCATCTTGGCCTGCGTCTTTAACCATCTTAATGTCTCATGATCGGAATAGACTTTGAAGTGCCTCCCAAGCAAGTAGTGCTTCCAATGTTCTAAGGCTTGCCTGAGAGCGTAGAGTTCCCTCTCATAGGTAGATGTCACGACCTTCTCTGAAGGCATTCTGGCGAACATGAACTCTACGGGTCTATAACCATTGCCATCACCTTGCTGCAACACCGCGCCTATGCCGTACTGGCTACATCCGTAGTGACGACAAAAGGCAAGGACGGATCGGCTACCTTAAGGACCGGGTACTCTATCAATGCCTGCTTCAATTTCTTCATGAGACGTACAGCAATCCTTCCAGATGGTCTCCTTCCTCAGCAATCTGTGAAGGGGTACAGTCCTTGTCCCACTTCCAGATGGTCTCCTTCCTCAGCAATCTGCGAAGGGGCGCAGCGATGGTGGAGAAGTTCCTCACGAACTTCCTGTAATAGTTAGCTAAGCCCAGGAACGAGCGCAACTCAGTCAGCGTACGTGGCGTGGGCCAATCTCTAATCGCTGCGATTTTACAATCTTCTGGTTTAATGCTGTCTCCGTCTAAGACGTGGCCTAGGTATAAAACTTGGGTCTTTGCCCAATCGTACTTCTTTGCACTGATCTTGAAGTTAGCTTCCCTCAGCTTCTCCAAGACCTGCCTGAGATGACCCTGGTGTTTTTGGAGGGTCTTACTAAACACTAAGATGTCATCTAAGTAAACAACAACAAATATATCTAACCAAGGCCTAAACAAATCGTTCATACAGCGCTGGAACGTAGCTGGCGCATTGGTTAGTCCAAAGGGCATCACTATGAACTCATAATGCCCATATCTAGTCCGGAAGGCGGTCTTATACTGATCATCAGGATGCACTTCTATCTGATGATATCCGGACTTCAAATCTATCTTGGAGAAATACTTCGCCCCCTGCACTCAATCTAAGAGATCGTCTATCCTAGGCAGTGGCTCGGCATTCTTCACTGTAATAGCATTCAGACCCCTATAGTCTATACACATTCTCAACTCTCCCTCTTTCTTAGGAACAAAGAGAACAGGCGCTCTAAAAGGAGATGAACTGGGCCTAATCCAACCCTTCTCGAGAAGCTCGTCTAATTGCTTGCGAAGCTCCTCTAACTCCCGTGGGGACATCCTATACACAACACCCTTAGGAGTTCTACTGCCAGGCTTTATCTCGATACGGTGTTGGATGGGCCGCGGCACCGTTCCTGTCGGCGGCTCAGTTAAATCCTTAAACTCTTCCAGCAACTTGGCAATCGCAGGGTCCATCGACTTTTCTTCCATAGGCTCGGTCACTGGCCTAACATAGGCAACAAAGACCTGTTCCTCCAATTTCTCCTTCTTTACTAATCTGGCGAATGCGGGCGCACTAAGGCAGCAATGTGCCAATGGATTCTCTACTCCTGACACGTGGAACAGGTGGGCAGTCTTGGACTCGCCTGAAGAACTAGGGAGCCTACACTCGTGCTCCTTCAGATGGAGCGTGGCCCCGACTGCCTCTCCCCAATCCATCCCCAGAACAATATCAAATGGGAGGCTATCTTCTACGAGGAGAGTCAGGGAGTGGGGACCTTCTCCACTTTCCCATCCTGCTCTAGGCGGAAGTACGCCGGGACTCCCTCTACGTAATCCTCTACTCGCATCGTGCGATTATCCGCAAGGATACTGACTATAGGGTCTGCTAGCTTCTGAACTTTAAGTCCCAGCTTCAACTTCTGCAGCGCTTTCTTGCTAATATAGCTGCGGGTGGCCCCTGAGTCTACTAGGGCCCCTACTCTGCCTCTAAAAATCTCTGTATCTACTAATATAAGCTGCCCTTTATTCTCCTTTTTCATCTTGGCCCAGGCGGGCCTCCTCTCCTTCAACTCTTCGGCCACGCCTGTGAGGGAGGTGTCTAGAGAGACCCTAACACAAGCAGTCTCTGGGCAGCTATCTAGACACCGGCCTACAACCTCTGCCATAGGCACATGTGGTGTGTGAGTCTCCTGCCGGCTAACGATATGTTCCCCACATGGCCTAGGGGCAGTTGCTACCCCTACCGGCGGCTGCCTTTTGGCCCTTGAGCAGCCGTTCGAGTCTCTCGATACTTAGGACAGTATTTGATGATATGGCCCGGGTCACCGCAGAAAATGCACGGCCCCGGTCCAATCGTTGTTGCCATAAAGTCTGGTCCAGAACCAAAGTTTCCCAAGGCCTACCCTGTGGTAGCCCTGGGTGCCATCCTCCTACCCTATAGGGAGACCTATTCCTAGGACGGTTTTGCGGGGGACCTTGACCCCTTCCTCCCGCTTGGCGGTTTCCTCCTCTGCCGCCAACCCCCTGGTCGCCCTGGAACCGGCTCCCTGAGGGCCGGCCCCCTTGGCCCTGGCCTCGTCCTCCTCCTTGCGGCCTCCCTCCAGCCGCGACAGCAGCGTAAATTCTCCCCTGGCCCACACCGCTGTCCTCCTCCTCTAACCCCCACTCAATCTGATCGTAGGGGATCTCGTCCACACTACCCTCATCTAAGGTTAGGACAAGACTATCCTTAGTCTTCACTTGCCCAGAGATAGTGCGGCCCTTCCATTGCTTTCCCTTATCCAAGTCTTTGGGCCAGAAGGTGGAGACTGACACAGACTTTGCCTCAAAGGCCACCACTTCACGGCTAAGGGAATCGTAAGTGGTGGCAGGGTCTTCACTCTTTGCGAAGAAGTGCCCGCGAAAGGCTTCTGGCATAGCTCTGTAAAAGAGGACAACCAACTGGGTGTCTGTAACCCCGTGGTCAGGGACAGCTACTAGTTCGTCCATTGTGCTCTTGAGCGCCCTGGCACTCTTCCACTTACGAGCATGGATCGTCTGGAGCTTGTCTGAGGCCTTGACACTTCGAGCGACATCTGCAAATCGCTCGCGCAACAATTTCATGAACTCCGTGAGGGAGGTAAATGCCGAATAGGCAACTGCATCATCATTGCAGTTAGCGGCGCGCACTAGGGACCTTGCAAAACTGGTGGCCTCATCTCTAAGCACGTGGATCGCAATCAAGACATGCTGATCCGGGGAGACCTGTTGCACATGCACATAGGTCTTGACGTTGGCCTCCCAGTTGTCAAAGTTCTCTTCCCTCTTCCCACTGTAGGAATCAGGGAATTTGACCTTGACTGGCTCCCTACGCGGACGTGGCTCCTCCTCCTTGGGAGCTGCCGCCTTGACGCCCTCAATGGCGCCGCACAAAACCGCTCAGTTTTGTCGAGGCGATGGTCCACCTCGGCCCCTATAGCGCCTACCAACTCGCGAGCAAAGTCCCGGAATCCCAACCGTATCGAACGCACAACTATGTGCTGGCTCCTACTGAAGTCATATTGCTCTGCCTGAATTCGTGCCAGGCGTGCAACGTTTCGGGCTATGACTCGCATTTGGTTTGGGAGTTCGGTCTGGGCGGCTAATTGCTCTTCTATCTTTTTTACCTCCTCTAATTCTTCTGCTGCCTCCGCTGCCGCGTCCACTCTCCTCTTCTTCTTCCTCATCACTGCCAATCTCCATTCCATCCTCTTCTCATCTTCCATCGCCTGCCGCTTTACGACATCTTTTTCTGCTTCCCAAGCTCTCATAGCGGCTTCCTGGTCATCCTTGGATATGTACATTGCCACCTCTTCTTCTTCACCCAGGGATAAATTGGCGACCCACTCCGAGATCCGTTTCTCCATCTCATCATTTGTGCTGCCACTGTACTGCCCCCTCTTCCTTTGCAGTGGCATCTCGTCTTCCTCCTCTTCCTCTTCCACCTCCTTCAGCTTCTGCTCCTCTTCCTTTTTCAATCTCTCCTTCTCCCTGGCCGCCTCCTCCTCAATCTTTTTCATCTTGGCTGCCTGCTCCTCCATTAAGGCCTTCTTCTTGGTCTCTCTCTTCTCCCTTCTCTCTTTCAGAATGGCGGCGGCCTTGGCCTCCTCTTCAGGCGTATAGGGGTGTGTGGTCGTGCCACCCTTCGTCTCTACCCTACACGCAAAGGTGTTCCAGAACCCCAGAGGGAAGAGGAGACGCCAGAGGGTCCCCCATAGGGAGAACCCCACAAGCAGCCCATACATCGGATAGTCATCCATCGTGGTGTCAGGTGCACGACAAGAGTCCCACTCCTCACCACTTTAGACCTACCCGGACACTAACCCACTGACTGACTTTCTAAGATCACTACTCAAACTACTCAAACTACTCTAAGGCTGTCACTACTGAACCAACAGCTGATCAGGAGGCATTTAAGGAGATCCCCCAAACTCCGCAGGAATTCTTTAACGTCGCAGTCAGGACGACGTGATCAGCGTGGTTCTTCCTGGCGATTTCAGCCCACAACTCAGCCATTCCGGCCTACTGTGCCACACCGAGCAGCCCGCCGGTCGGTACCGGTCCTTGGAGGGGTTCGTGTCCCTCGGGTCAGTCGAGTCGTCAGACACAGATCATCAGCCTTACTGGGTCCGGTAGGGGAGTGGTTCAACCAGGCCTCAACACTTAAAGACGGCCTTTGTTTCAGCCTATTGCTCGGAGTTCGGACGCTCTACACTGAAACTGAGTAGACCTGTTGGACAGTACCAGTCATTGGGCTAGACGAGTTGTTTAACGAGCACTCGCCGCTCATGCCCAGGTCTCCAGATGCCAGAGTAGAGCTTTAGTCCTACTAAGTCCCGTGCAGGTTTGGCAGCAAGGCCCTATCCTTCATCCACAAGTCCTAACACCTAGGACAGAAGAGACTCAATGCAGAAAGGAAAGACAGACAGACTCAACTCAGCAAGTACCGTAGGGTGTGTGCACATCCACAGGGTAAGGGGATAGGCTGAGGGCTCAACGAGATATCACCAACTCCAGCTTGGTCAAAATCTTGGTCAGCAGCTCCGGTCAACGCCTTGGTCAACGCTGAGTCAGCGCGAACAACCCTCAGTCAACGCTTGGTCAACACCCTTGGTCAACGCCTGGTCAACCCTCTGGTCAACCCTTCACCTCGGCTATGGCTGCCGGCACCTTCACCTTCCTCACCCTCGCCACTTACTTCCCCTTCCTTCACTCTTCTCTTTCTTCACTTTCTCTGATTTTTTTTTTGTTTTTTTTTTTGTTCACCCCCCGGCTATGTCTGTCTCCTTCTTCGGTATCTCTCCTTCCGCACTTCTCTTTCTCTCTCCTTCGGTCCCTCCTTCTCTGTCCTGCCCGTCTCTCTCCTTCGATACCCTGTGATGATACTCCGCGGCTCTGGCCGCTATCTTCCTTCTCCACCGGACTACGCAACTCGCCTCACAGGTAAGTGACAACCAATCTTGGATCGCTCATCTCTCTCTCTCTCTCTCTCTCTCACTCAACCTTGTTCTTCGTCGTGGTCCTCTTGATGCAGGTGCGTGGCGGCTTCTTCCACCCGAGGTCCGCTATGGCGGACTGCCTCCTTCGGTCGCCACCTCAACTATGGCGCATCGGCCCTGCACACGACGGCGCGTGGAACAGCGGGTACCTGCTCTGATACCGGTGCAATCAGACTCGACTTATTCACACTTTTCATGCACGTGAACAGCAGAACAGCAAACTGGCGACATGCGCCCACACTGTACTCAGAGATATCGTAACCAGATAAGAGTTCTCTTGTAATTGGCTATGGCGGCTGTGCGCCCAAACAACTCGCTGTTCACACTCTGGATCACCCTGGATGTCCCACGCACATCACTCTGAACACACGCACAGTACACACACACTGCACTCTACACTAAGCTATGGCAGCTATGGCTGCCACTACCTATCGCTATGGCTACCCTGCTTCACTCTTGCCCACTTCGTCTTCGGGCCTCCAGCAGACCTCCTTGCACAAGACGTTGAAGCAGCGCTTCCGCATGGCTTCCGCATGAATGAATGAATGGCTGGGCGCAGCCTCTTGATTTATACTTCGGTGCTGCGTTGGTCTGCCCTGTACCCCTGGCCCATTGTGCACACAGTCCCAGACGGTACTTGCTGGACTGGACCGAACTGGGTTGACTGGGACTGCTGACTGTACTAGGTGGACTACCACCACTTGACCACTTGCCTCTGCTTAACGCTTAACGCAGGCTCACTCCGAAAGGCCACTTCTAGAAACCTCTAACTTGGCCTTTCGGTACTGTAGCAGCTACGACTTTKCCCTTTCAGGTAAGTAGCAGCTACGACCTTGACCCTTCAGGCAGTCTACAGCTACGACCTCTGAACTGTCTAGACTCCTACCCTACAGGTCTACAGTTTGAATCCCTTCTACCCTGTGACCTACGAAAACCTACCTACCACTGGCGGTCCTACAGGTAGCAGGTTCAACTCTATGGGTTGACACCGGTACTGTACGCAGGTAAGATGGGGAACTAGGGATAGAGCCCTGGGGTCTGCATCAGCTACTGCGAACTGGTGAATGCCGTTTCACTTCTATGCCTACTAAGACTCCTAACCGACAGATCTACAGTTCGAGAGCCGACAACCACACTAACCTGCGACAGGCAACAGGTGACTACCAAGACACAGGCCGCGGGTTCGGACACACGCAGGGCAACTAACACTGTATGCAGGTAAGGGCGAGATCCGGGGAACGAGCCATGGGAACGGGAACTGCTACCATAAAAGTGAAAACCGTCTCAACTTTCACAAGAAAAAAAAATTCCGGCTTCAAAGAACGAAATTCGCAAGTAATTTGAGTTCCAAGGAAACGTGCAGAAAAAAAATTCGAAATGATTCAATGAAAATTGCGATTTTTACAAAAAACAAACAAATGAAATCTGCAACAATGACCCAATTCCTAAGACTAATTAGCATGGTAACCCCAGACCCGAACACCGGACACTTCCGGACGGTCTTCCGGACCAGTGTCTGGACCAGTCTGGATTTAGTAATTTAAGTTCATAACTTCATATATAACTTGAAAGTTCGAACTGAAACGGTTTTCACCTTTTAGCAGTAGCGAATGCAGATCCCAGGGCTCGATCCCTAGTTCTCACCTTACCTGTGTCGACCCCGAGTGTTTGAACCCGTGACCTGTAGCTGTAGGGATCCTGAAAGGTCAAGGTCGTAGCTGCTACAGTCCTGAGAGGTCAAGGTAGTAGCTGCTACAGTGCTCGAAAGGCCAAGTCCACGAACTTCCGGAAGGTCCGGAAGTGGCCTTTCGAAGCTGCTCACGTTTGAGACAGAGGCAAGTGGGAAAGTGGTGGAGTCTACCCGTGCTGAGTCAGCAGTCCCAGTCCCAGTCCCAGTCAGTCAGTCCAGTCCAGCAAGTACCGTACGGGACTGTGTGCACCACGGGCATGGGAAAGGGCCAGACCAACGAGCTACAGACGTATAAATTGAGAGGCAGCGACCAACCATTCATTTCATTCCTGCGTACGCCATGCGGAAGCGCTGCCAGCAGCGACTTGTGCGAGGTGGTCTGCAGCAAGCCCGAAGACGAAGTGGGCGAGAAGGAGCTTAGTCATAGCGATAGGGTAGCAGCTGCCATAGCCGCCATAGCTGATAGGGGAGTGTAGCGTGTAAGTGTGTAAGTGTGTAAGTGTGTAAGTGTGTGAACAGCGTGAAGCGTGTGGGATATCCAGGGTGATCTGGTGTGCAAACAGCAGTGTTGAGTAAGTGACGAACAGAGAGATGTACAGGCGATGTGCCGCCATAGCCATCTGAAGTGACATTGTATCTGAACTGTGTTCGTGGTTACCATATCTCTGAGTTATGAGTGGGCAAGTTTGCTGCATGACCTGTTTGCATGCATGAGAGGTGTGAATGAAAGCGAGTCTGATTGCACTGGTATCGGAGCTGGTACCCGCTATCCCATGCGCCATCGCCGTTGCAGCAGGAGAGAGACGCGCGCCGTAGGGCGCCATAGTTGAAGAGCGCCACCATGAGGAAGAAGTCCGCCATAGCTTCACTGCTGAAGAAGGTGCTGTGTACCTGCGAGGAAGACAACGACAAAGAAGAGAGAGAGAGAGAGAGAGAGAGAGAGAGAGAGAGAGAGAGAGAGAGAGAGAGAGAGAGAGAGAGAGAGAGAGAGAGAGAGAGA